GATTTACAAGAAAGCCTCTTGCCTACTAATTTCTTTTATAAAAACTCTCTGTGGCCTTAGATCCTACCCCACCAATTTTTCCAAGATATGAATTCCTGTTATATAAGCCTCAAAGGCAGATACAAAGCTATATTGTTTACTTTAACTGGTGAAAGAGTGAAGACTGATTTAGCTAAAAGTTGTACCACTTGTAAAACTCTCCTTTCCAGTTTGCGGTAACTAAAGGGTGTTGCTGCCGAAATAAGATTTTTTCCCCTCTGAAATTTTCCCTTTGTTTCCAAATTTCTAGCTCTGTAGTAACTTAACACTTCAGAAAAACATTTAGATATACAGTTTAAGCACCCACAGAAAACCAAGGGAGCACAACAAATATAAGAGACCCAAGATGGGAATGATTTTCAGCGGCTTTCTGTCTGCAATAATACAAATATTTGAAATGAACTAAGATTTCATAGGATGTGTGTGGCAAAATTTATTGGGGACAAAGCCCCTACCTGACCTACCTACCTGCCTTCAATCTCCTTCTCTACAAGACCACCCCATGAAGTTTTTAATGCTATTGTTGGATCAGTATAAAAGAAATAGTGAAGTTAACGTCAGACCCAATGAACATTACCACATGAAAATTAACACAATGCTCTATTCATCAGATAGTGTAATATGAATACCACTTTTTGATGAATAAAAGCTAAGTGTGTGTAAACATGTGACATTGAAGACGATTAGCATAGAGCTCAGTAGAGCCTATCCAAGATAGGCAAATGTGCATTTCTATTTGGGAATAAGTCCCATTGAATTTAATGGGACTAAGCAAACATGTGTCAGTTCAAGTTGGTAGTGATATTGCTTTTAATGAATGAAGTCGTTGTGAAACTAGCCCTACTGGTTTACAGAAAAGAACATAAGCAGCTGTTAAGTGGCACACCTATAGAAGACAAAATAAGTTATTGGGCAGAAGAGGAACATCTTGAAAACTGATCACTGTCAGCATAAAAACGAATGAGCTACTGGCATTATCAGGGCCCCCTTCCATATAATCGAGATTATCAAAGCAGATAATCCAAATTATCTGGTTTGAACTGGATTATATCAGTCTACACTGCCATATAATCCAGTTCAAAGCAGATGATCTGTATTTTATATGGCTGTGAAGAAGCCTGTCAAACAAATTAAAGGCACACGCTTAAAGTAAAGCTATAACTCCCAACAGTGTATTATATGGGGTGAGCCACACCATATGCTTGTGTGTTCACAAAAAGGTGCTTATACCAAAACCAAGACACTGTCTTTATTGAGAAAACAGTACTGAAGCATGTACCCTTCCCACATATACATACTTTACCCATGCTAGGTTTCCTGCAGCTGTATGTTGCAGGATTCCTGCTATAAGATTACCAGTTATTAAGATAGTGAATAAACCCTTGCAGATGAATTTTAGTGAAGTCAACTAGGCTTCTTTCTAAGTAATTGCAATTTCTTTAGGTTCAGCTGCAATTTCTATCCATGCAAAGGTGTAGTATTTCTGTCCCACTATTGGAACTCAGTTTTATTTGTTACCTGTAAAATAGTTTTCACACACGAACACATATATTTCTAGTATTGATTAGAAATTTTAAGTCAGGCAAAACCCCATAGTACTAAAAAGTAGTAATACAAAATACCCTACATTTTGGTTATGCTCTAGATCTCAGTGCAAATTGTTCAGTAACAGTAAGCAGCTGGAGAAATGAATAGCAAACTCTAATCAATTTTCATGGACCAGGGTCAAACAACAGAAGCTTTTAATTAGATTTCAAAGGCAAGCCACCCACATGTAACTTCAATAACAGGATTCAGATCCTATTTTGGAAAAGCAGTTTGAAGACTGATACTCTAAAGTAAAACAATGTATGAATACAAGTTTCTTTATTTTTCTTTAAAATTCTGTGTGCGCGCACTAGAAGAAGTTAATTTTTATTTCCAAATCGTCATGTAGATGGCCACTTTCAGCAGGACTACTAACTTACTCTCCATTAAAAACAACAAACGTGAAGCCATTTTGGCAGGAACAAAATGCATATAAAGTGTAATCTATATACCTGTAATATTTTACTTGGAAGGAAATGCTAATACAATAAATGAGATTCCCCCTCCAAAATGTGTTTCTGATAATACATGACGATAGTAATACATAAAGACAATTGCTAGATGGTTGCATATACTGTTGCAGCTATTAAAGTGGATTTGTTCAATCACGGAGAATGAGGCAAAATAACAGACATGAAGCAAAATTATACCAGATATACCAGATACCTGTATTGCCTGGAGGATAAAGTATCAAAGAATAGTTTAGCTGACAACCAATGTTGATGCATCCGATATAGCAAAACGCCAGAACTAGTTTCATAATATTTAATACACATAATCAAAACAATTAAACATTCATAAAAATGAATATGCATAACAAATGAAGGCATCTTTGTTTATGCAACCTTTTAAAAAAAACCAACACACAATGGATATTAAAATGAATATTGAAGCAAGCCTATATTGGCTTACTGCTTATAATACCATTAGGCAAGATGTCAGCAAACGGAAATACATTCAGTACTTAAGATCAGCACTTAATATCCTCACTCAGCATATTTTCTCTACCTACAGGCTGCTTGGGGTGATCCTCCCTAATTCACACAAGGAAAAGGTGAGAGCTTGGCATCTAAAGGGCTATGGCCACTGTGTGTCCTCTGGTCAAAGTGGCTGTAGACAGAATAGCCACAATCATAAAAGCTGTCCAAAATTCAGGTTTTTAAAACCCTTTTATTTGAGGATTCTACAAGACATTTTACAAACATATAAAGAAAGTAGACTCTACTTTCATCTTCCCAGATGCATAATCAATCTGGGATGGTCACTTTTAGAAACCCATTTTTCATTTGGCCCTTGTAATGATTCCCACTGCCCATCACTTCATCTTACTGCCATAACAGCTGGCATTTGGGCCAGTGAAATACCTGGGTGTTCTTTGTTCCCAGTATATGAACACAGACATGGGTGAGGATGGCACTAAACTGCTTTCAGGTGAAAATATTGGGCTATGAGAACGAGCCCTATTCCTAGCACAAAGCCATATTTGCACAAAAAATCTTAATCTCAGAGAATACTAAATATCGTGGCTGTGTTTTATCAAAATGTATAATGTACCCGTAATGTTTACACTTTCTTGCAAGTCACTTGGGGTTTGGATGGGTTGAAAATCAAATTCTATCAAAATGTGTAATTTACCTGTAATGCTTACTCTTTGTCCTGCAAGTCACTTTAAAAAAGCAAGTTGGATGATTTGGCCAGTAGAACAGCTGAGACAAATATGAACTTAAAAATCCTATTTAATAGGTGTATATGTCATACATTCACAGGATCACTTTGGAAGGAATATCCATATAATCACGTTGCCTCACTAAATCAATAGGAATTTGCTAGAACAATACTTATGTACATTCAATTGATTTATTTGAAAATAACAACTGAATTTAGACTAGTTACCGTGCCTCAAGTCATAACAATATATTGATTTAATGAAATACCCTTATCCTTTTTAGGACTGAAGATGTCAGCTTTTAGACAAACTTACTGAAAACTGGAGCAGAGTAAGAGATTTCCATAGTACCATTTTTAAAAATAGAATAGTAGTTGCAAACTACTATTGTGTCTTTGGCTCCTACACATACTAGAAGCTCAGAAGTACCATAGGTTTCTGGACACAATACACAAAACAGCACCATTTGTTAAAGCTCAAGCCTTAAAACGAATTAAATAAGATTATGTTTCTTTTTCCATGCAGGTCACATAGGTAAAGTACAAAACATGGGGGAGTGAAAGTGGAAGTGTGAATGGGAATTTAAGTTACTGTCATTTGTCATGGAGAAGGGAACATAAAGAGAGATTATTTATGGATTTTTCCATGCTGAAGTGTGGCCATAAAGATCAATACAAATCAAGCATTTTATATCAGGTCATTCAAAGAGCAAAGAGCTCTGCAGCTGAATACAGCTGAATACTGAATACAGCTAATTATGATAATTGATAAAGAAAGTAAATGCCGTAACTTTGCCACCAATGCCAGGCTATCACGGGAATCCAAGGATTGCCAATGTTGCAACAGTGAGATGCATTATACTGCTGCAAACATGTCAACACACTTAAATAAGATTAAGAAACACATTCTAGCACAAGATGATGCAAGCCACTTTGTTGAAAGAAAATGATTTGGAAAGGCAACTTGTGGCGGTGTGATGAAATAGTCGAATAATAAAAGACTGAAAACTTCTGATATACAAAAACCCACAAAACGTTTGAAGAACTGTTTTATGTCTAAATGTATATGCTGTTAATACATAAAAATGAATTCCTTCAGCACAAAGCAGGAAAACCCTGCTTTGTGCCGAAGTAATCTGACAGCTGGAAAGACCTGGGTCTTTCTAGCTGTGGGCGCTGTGTGCATTGGGCCTGGGGATCACATCGCACAACATCCGGTCCTAATCCACACAGCTGTCCTGGAATTTTTGGATTCCTGGAGCCCAAAAAACCCAAGACAGTCCCCACTCCCCTCTCCAAAATCCCCAGAAAAGCCTTTTCCCCTGCTGTCATCCCTATCCTGCCCCCCTTTTTTTCCTGGTACATCATTTCTAAGTGCCAGGAAAGGGCCAGCAGCAGGGAAATGTCAGCCGGGCAAGTTATTTTTTTCTTTTTAAGGCTTTTTGTGTGTGTGTGTGGGTCTTTTGTTTCCAGGCATATGAATATCCCCCCCCCCCCGAAACGCACACGTTTTTGTGGGCATGTGTGGACCCAATTGGGAGCGTATTAAAGTCCTTTCTGGAACCGTCCTAACTCACCTGGCAGCCATTCCTTAGGTAGACACATCGGTGCCTAAAAAAACTTTTCCAAAAAGCTTTATCTTGACTCAAATCCCACTGAAGAGATAAGCAGATACAAAATGTTCGCATACTTGCCAGTATAGTTAGGCCTTTTGCTGAAAAGCTCCCTTCACCAGAAAATTTGGTTCCCCCTTTCCCTGATAGTATCTCAGCAGAAAAAGTATTGGGTCTTTATTGTTAATGAATGAAACTAGCTTATTTCATAAGCTAGTCTACTGTCAGTGTATAAAATAGTTCCCTTCCCCATGTTATTGCAATGTAGCTTCCACTACCTATATGATAATCAGTGTTTTCGACAAGCTAGCCAAAAAGGTTAACTACCCATCTTGTAACCAGTAGTGTTTCAACAACAGCACTTGCCTATCAGTTACCTAGAACTCAGCTTCTTGCTAGAGCGCAAAAAAAAAAAAAATTGGTCTTTTATTCCACCCTTTAAATATATTTGTTAATAACAGCTTTAACATTCATTTATTAAATAATGAATATTCTTGAAATGGAAATCTCAGCCACAAATTGTTTCTATAAGCTACGGTTATACTTTTGGGAACTCAAAGCAGTTCTTTGGGGAGGAAGTCCAGGAGACAAACGTTTCAGGTACCAGAATCTGTATGTTCCATACCAGGCAGCGATGCCCACAAAGGTGCCAAACAACTTTTGAGAAAACTCATGGAAATATATGGCAGTAGTTAAAAACATCCATATCCAGATCAGGGTCAAGAAACTTAAGGCCAGGAACAAGCCATTGATCACGCTGCGCAGTCTGAGCTCCTTGGAGGTTTTCATGTTATGCATCACAGCTATCTCTTCCATGATCATCAGAGCACAGTAGGAGAGGAGGAAGGAGTGTCCTGAGATGTCGAAGCCATGCCAGAAGCCACCAGCTTGATGGCACAGAATTTTGCTAGAATGCTCCCGCTGAAGAAGGTCGAGGGACGGTGAGCTGTAACAGACGCCTGTCATATCTTCAATGTGAAGGAACACCCCTGTGCAGACATACCAGATGGCAGTGCCAACCAGGAGAGTGCTGAGACGCTGAGCCACGGACCGAGCATTTCCGGTGACTATGTAGTTGGTAATGCTGATGAAAGGCAGGAGCAGAAAGAGCGTCCAGGCCCAAGCGAACTTGACAAAATAGCTGCCAGCAAGAAAATGAACAGATACCGTCAGGATTTGGAAGAGTAGCTACAGATGTTACCAAATAACTCCATCCAGACTGTTAATCCTATTTGATAATCCCTGAATTTCTAAAATGGCAAAACTTATGCAAATACCAACTACTCTTATTGGTACTCCTCTGAAAATCTAACTATCTGATTTTATTTCAGTTTTCAAAAGCAATCATGTACAGGTACTCCCCAAGTTACAAACATTCAACGTACAAACGACTCATAGTTAAGAATGGGGGTGAGACAACAGGAATTGAGAGAAATCTACTCCTCAGAAGGGAAACTCACTCCTTAAAAAGAGATCATGGGGAAAATGTGTATCCACATAAGCTTTCTTACCAATCCTTGTTTCCACAACAAGACACATTTTTCAAAATCCAAATATCACAGGAATAGAAAGTGAGGTTAAGTCTTCAGACAGCAAAACACATATAAGGGTGTTAACCCTTCCCTATGCTATCTGAAACACACACACACATATATATATCTAGAATAACACTTTAAAATGTGCCTGTTTTAACTTACATACAGATTCAACTTAAGAACAAAACTACAGAACCTATCTTGTTCGTAACCTGGGGACTGCCTGTACTGACAAATATAATTAGTTTTAGCCAAGCCAAACGATAATTAGGATCAAATGGGACTGAATTTCCATCTAGGTTAAGAGTAGCATAATATGAGGCTCCAACTATTAAGCACTAATGCTCCTGAATTAGGAATGAAGCTATACCTTAATGTAAAGCATATAATTTGTATATAAAAAAACACAGCTTGGCTGTATTGCAGTTTTCAGGTTGGGAAAAGAGCCCTGACTGAAATTCTGCAGAGTCACTGCTATTCATTGTAAATAAAACTGAGCAGCATGGACCCAGTTTCATAAAGACATGGACTCAGGAGAAAATTCATTATTGAAAAGAAGTTATGAGTGTTAATATTTGTGTTATGTATGTAAAACAACTGGTTTCTTCAGGCTGCTTTGGGATTCCTGATATATTTAAGAACTGTCACTTTACTGTACAGGTTGAATATTCCTCATCTAGAAATCCCAAATGCTCCAAAATTGTCCAGTGTAGATTCATGCTTTACATGAAGGAGGATCTACTTTAAGGTCCAATGGGGAGAGGATGCTTGATCCTTCTCAAAGTAGGAGGGCAAGAACCTCATTGGCATCAATGGCATCCCCATCCCCTTCCAAAAAGAAATAGAAATTCCCTGTCCATTTAATTTATTTATTTACGACATTTATATGCCGCCCTTCTCACCCCAAAGGGGACTCAGAGTGGCTTACAAGATAGATATATACACATACAATATATTATTTGCATAGTACAATATCAGTATTAGATATTACTATATTGTACTATACCATTATATTGTAATATTATTAGTAATATTACATGTAATATAAATATATAATTACTAGCCGTACGCTGCCACACATTACATTTGCCCAGTCTGTGTATGCTTTGTGTGTATATATATTTGTGTATATGTGTATATATGTGTGTTTGTGTAAATATATGTGTGTGGTTTTGTGCAGGCATTGTAATGTATTTATTTTTTGGCTTTTAAAATCTATTCTGTAGTGTTTTTCAGTGTTTTTATGAGTGATGGTCACTTGTTGGCCTGACAGGTGTCTTGTTTCCAAATTTGGTGTCAATTCGTCCAGTGTTTTTTGAGTTATGTTAATCCCACAAACGAACATTACATTGTAATATAAATATATAATTACTAGCCGTCCCCTGTCACACATTGCTGTGGCCCAGTCTGTGTATACATGCTTTGTGTGTATATATATTTGTGTATATGTGTATGTACGTGTTTGCATACATATATGTGTGTGGTTTTGTGCATACAAGCATTTTTTGGCTTGTAAAATCTATTCTGTAGTGTTTTTCAGTGTTTTTATGAGTGATGGTCACTTGTTGGCCTGATAGGTGTCGTTTCTAAATTTGGTGTCAATTCATCCAGTGGTTTTTGAGTTATGTTAATCCCACAAACGAACATTACATTGTAATATATATAATTACTAGCCGTCCCCTGCCACACGTTCCTATGGCCCAGTCTGTGTATACATGCTTTGTGTGTATATATATTTGTCCATATGTGTACACATATGTGTTTGTCTACATATATGTGTGGTTTTGTGAATGCATTGTAATGTATTGATTTTTTGGCTTTTAAAATCTATTCTGTAGTGTTATTCAGTGTTTTTATGAGTGATGGTCACTTGTTGGCCTGATAGGTGTCTTGTTTCCAAATTTGGTGTCAATTTGTCCAGTGTTTTTTGAGTTATGTTAAATCCCACAAACGAACATTACATTTTTATTTATATAGATAATATATTATTATTATTATTATTATTATTATTATTGGTATTATATTGCATTACATTATAATATTATACATATTATAATATTATACATAAATGTGGAAGGAAACTCTGAACTATGAGATAGCGAARATTGAACGGCAATAAGGAGTAATTGGTTTGTACTGGTTTGTATGAAATTTTATTGGTTTTAGCGGGTATAGATGTAATGTATTGTTGTTGTTTGCTAATTTGCGTTATTCTGTTTTATTGCTGTTGTATGTTACGGGCATCGAATTGTGCCTTGGATGTGTAAGCCGCCCTGAGTCCCCTTTGGGGTGAGAAGGGCGGGGTAAAAGTAAACCAAATAATAAATAAATAATAAATATTATATGTATATACAATATATTGAATTATATTATTAGAATAGSACAGGAGACAAGGTGGAACTGTCTTCTGCCCCCTTTCCTCCCCTTTCCCCTTTCCCCCTCCCCAACCCCACCCCAGYCTGAATGGTATCTTCTCTAACTCTGGCGCTATCAGCTTTTCACGCCTGTCAATCAATTGCCCTTGCCCCGCCCCCACACCCGAGGCCCCGCCCCCAAGACCCTCACATGTTGAGCAGGTTGCGCTTGTTGCTCATGTAGGTCTCCGGCAGCGGCGCCCATTCCTTCAGGAGGGATCCGCTCATCATGAGGCCCAGCAGCACCCAGGGCATCATCCGCCGTAGCCTGCCGCTACTCCCCACGTAGGGCGTTAAGAACCCGGCGGACCGGTCGATGTACTCCATCCTTGAGGAGACTTCGGTGAAGCTTCGCCGAGACTCGCAAGCCGGCCGAACTCCACAGCCGCCGTACTTGCGTCACTCGGCCCCGCCCACCGCGGCTCGCGCAAGCTTCCCGGGCCGCCTCCAGTGCGCAGGCGCAGCTCGTCTGGCAAGGAGCGGGGCGTTGAGGAGGAGAGTGGGGCTCGCGCTGAGGCGGTTGCTGAGTCAGTCACCCTCCCTCCCTCGCTCGCGAGAGAGCCAGGCCCTCCTTATTGCGCCTGCGCAGAACGTTTTTTGTTGCTGTGCCCTGGCATGAACCTGAGCTGCCTCGTGCAGAATGGCTTATTTATTTATCTATCGTGTCAGGGGCAGACCAGACAGTTGCATTGCATTTTTAAACAAACAAAACACAAAGTTTGCAAGCTTGGTAGTTGATTCAATGTCTTTTGACCAGTAGCTGGCCACTTGGAGTGCCTCTGGTGTTGCTGCAAGAAGGTCCTCCATTGTGCATGTGGCAGGGCTCAGGTTGCATTGCAGCAGGTGGACAGTGGTTTGCTCTTCTCCATACTCACATGTCCTGGATTCCACTTTGTAGCCCCATTTCTTAAGGTCGTGCATCTCGTGGTGCCAGAACACAGTCTGTTCAGCACCTTCCAAGTCGCCCAGTTTTCTGTGTACCCAGGGGGAAGTCTCTCATTTGGTATCAGCCATTGGTTGAGCCTGCCACTTTTGGACTCTCGCTTGCTGAGGCGTTCCAGCGAGTGTCTCTGTAGATCTTAGAAAACTATTTCTTGATTTAAGTCGTTGACGTTCTGGCTGATATCCAAACGGGATGAGCTGGAGATACATGTGCAGAATGGCTGAGAAACATCTAACGGACCTGGAGGTTCACTCCCATATAAGATCTTGCTTTTCTCTCAAGGAACATGAGCTTATGCTTGTCACAGACTGAGAGCCACTTTAAGGGCTATACTTCAATGCTGTGGGATCCTGGGAGTTGTAGTTTGGTGAGCCACCAGCATTGAAGGGGGAAGACAAGCAGCTCATCCAGCAGTCGTTGGGCAAGTTAGAGAAGATGGCGAGATGTGGTAAATGACTTGTTCATTTGTTCAATCGCTTCCGACTCTTCGTGACCACATGGACCAGCCCACGCTAGAGCTCCCTGTCGGCCATCACCACCCCCAGTTCCTTCAAGGTCAAGCCAGTCGCTTCAAGGATACCATCCATCCATCTTGCCCTTTGGTCGCCCCCTCTTCGTTTTCCCTTCCATTTTCCCCAGCATAATTGTCTTCTCCAAGCTTTCCTGTCTTCTCATTATGTAGCCAAAATACTTCATCTTTGCCTCTACTATCCTTCCCTGGTTGGATCTCCTTGCGGTCCAAGGCACTCTCAGCGATTCCTCCAATATCAAAAGCATCTGTCTTCCTTCGCTCAGCCTTCCTTATGGTCCATAGTAAATGACTTACAGCCCTAACATTGTGGGGCCCTTTCACACTCCACAGTTATAGTGTTGTTATCCCACTTTAGCTGCCATGGCAACCGCCTACAGAATCCTGGGGCTTGTAGTTTGCCAAGCATTCTAAATTTAAGGGTCCCAGTGGGATCATCACACTATAATTGTGTAATTTGAAAGTTTTTTTTGAATATATAAGGCCATTTTCACCAGTTAGAATATGGAGGAAGAAGAACATAATTATTGTGCATCTACACCAGGCATGGGCAAACTTTGACCATCCCTCCAGGTGTTTTGGACTCCCAACTCCCACAATTCCTAACAGCTGGCAGGAATTGTGGGAGTTTGCCCATGCCTGATCTACACTGAAGAATAATTGGCACCAATTTTAACTGCCACGGCGCAATGCTGTGGAATTGTGGAAGTTGCAATTTTTCAAGGCTCTGAGTCTTCTCTGCCAAACAGTGCTGGTGTCTCACCAAACTGCGATTCTCATAATTTTATAGCATTGAGCCATGTCAGTTGAAGTGTTGTCAAACTGAATGAAATGCACGGTGTGGAATAGATCCACCCTTTGTTTGAATGAGTTGACCCTCTGAACTTGGATTATGAGTCTGATCTTGTTAGAATTCTGCCAGAGATGGAATAAATTTTTGAATTGTGTTCAAGTTTTTATTAGAAGAAGAATAATTTCATTTCTTACCCGCCTCTCCTCATGGCTCGAGGCAGGTCACAAAGCAATCAAAACACATAAACACAGCAAAAACACCACAGATACACACACCAAAACGTATCTCCATAAAAGCTACACTCCAAAATATGTCTCTACAAAATACATATTAAAGCAGAGATTTTACATGTTTATGTTTTTAAGACTGTCTGGGTAGGCCTGCTGGAAGAGACAGGTATTCACTTGTGTCTTAAATTCTGACAGCCGATTTAACTGTAAGAGCCCTACCGGCAGGTCGTTCCATAGCCTTGGGGCAGCTGATGAAAAGGACCTCTGGGTGGTGGTTGCCACTCAGGTTCTGGCTGGTTGGAGCAGGCACCCCCCAGAAGACCGAATTGTATGATGTGGATTGAATAGGAGAAACCCAGACTCAAACTACGTAGGGCTTTAAAGGTTAAAACCAACACCTTGTACATTGCCCGGAAACTAATTGGCAGCCAGTGGAATGACTTTAGGATAGGTGTAATATGCTCACTTCTAGATGTTCCTGTAACCAATTTTGAACCAGTTGGAGTTTCCGAACTTGATGCAAGTAGCGCAATGTGGAATGTGTTTCAGAAGCCCAACCTTGAGGTTACCAGTGTGTGCACTACCATCTTTAGGTCCTCCAAATCTAGGAAGGAGGACAGCCAAAGCTGATAGCAAGCACTCCTGACCGTTGCATCTACCTGGGCTGACATTTGGAGGAATTGATCCAAGAGCACTCCCAAGCTGTAAACAGTCTTTCAGGGGAGAGTATAACCTTATCCAGAACTGGTTGACACACCTCCACCCCCAGATTAGGACCCTTGATGGCAAGCACCTCTGTTTTATCTGGATTCAGTTTCAATTTGTTTTTCCTCATCCAGACCATTACCTCCCCCTCCTTCAGAGAAGATACACCATTCTATTCAGGCTCAGACCTTGTGACAAAACCACATTTTTATAATTACTTGATGTTGTAGAAGAGAAAATGTGGAGAGTTGATCCCTGCCAGTGCTGTAATGTAATGCAAGATGTACCTTCTGAAATCCCCTAATTTACAGAAGTCCTGAAGATACTAGCCATGCACTGGTTCCAGATGCTCCCAATAGTTGCCTACTTAACTGAGATAGCTTTCCTCTCTTTGCAGAATATCTGCAGTCACATAAAAATACATGATTGCAGCCCCAAAATCCGCCCTCAACTTACACACGAGGTCCCCTTTTACATTAGTGTACACAATACGTAAAGTGCTAGCATTGATCATGGCACTTGAAATACTCCTAAATAGATTCTTCCAAATAGTTCATTTCTGCATGAATGGCAAATTACATGCTGGGGAAAATATTAAGGATAGAAATATCCCTGCTTAAGTAGTTCATCCACACTACTCCCATTTCAGAAAATGATAAGAATCAGACTAGAAAGAGAAGAACAAGAGTAGAATAATTGTGTGTACTTGGCTGCTGATGTCCACAGAGGGGCAGCACATGTTTAGAAAAAAATAGAACTCTTCCCTGTAACCAGCAGTATGTCTCACTGTCACAAATACAGTCTTGCTGTAAACATAGGTTGGGAGCTGATCATTTTGAAGCAACTACCTATTTTAGTAGTTTAAAACTGTTTAAAATTTTAAAAGATGATGCTGTCAAGGTGATGCATGCCATATGCCAGCAAATATGGAAAACACAAGAATGGCCATCAGATTGGAAAAAATCAACTTATATCCCCATACCAAAAAAGGAAATGCGAAAGACTGCTCAAACTTCCGTACAGTGGCCCTTATTTCTCATGCCAGTAAGGTAATGCTCAAGATCCTGCAAGGAAGACTCCAGCAATACATGGAGCGAGAGTTGCCAGATGTTCAAGCTGGGTTTAGAAAAGGCAGAGGAACAGAGACCAAATTGCCAATATCCGCTGGATAATGGAGAAAGACAGGGAGTTTCAGAAAAAAATCTACTTCTGCTTCATTGACTATTCTAAAGCCTTTGACTGTGTGGATCATAATAAATTGTGGCAAGTTCTTGGTGGGATGGGCATCCCAAGCCACCTTGTCTCTCTCCTGAGGAATCTGTACAAGGACCAAGTAGCAACAGTAAGAACTGACCACGGAACAACAGACTGGTTCAAGATTGGGAAAGGCGTACGGCAAGGCTGCATACTCTCACCCAACCTTTTTAACGTGTATGCAGAACACATCATGCGATGTGCAGGGCTTGATGAATGCAAAGCTGGGGTGAAAATTGCTGGAAGAAACATTAACAACCTCAGATATGCAGATGACACCACTCTGATGGCCGAAAGCGAGGAGGAGCTGAGGAGCCTTCTAATCAAGGTGAAAGAAGAAAGCGCAAAAGCCGGGTTGCAGCTAAACATAAAAAAAACCAAGATTATGGCAACAAGAATGATTGACAACTGGAAAATAGAGGGAGAAATTGTGGAGGCCGTGACAGACTTTGGATTTCTAGGTGCAAAGATTACTGCAGATGCAGACTGTGGCCAGGAAATCAGAAGACATTTACTTCTTGGGAGGAGAGCAATGTCCAGTCTCGATAAAATGGTAAAGAGTAGAGACATCACACTGGCCACAAAGATCCGCATAGTCAAAGCCATGGTATTCCCTGTAGTAACCTACGGATGTGAGAGCTGGACCCTAGGGAAGGCTGAGTGAAGGAAGATAAATGCTTTTGAGCTGTGGTGTTGGAGGAAAGTTCTGAGAGTGCCTTGGACTGCAAGAAGATCTAACCAGTCCATCCTCCAGGAAATAAAGCCCGACTGCTCACTGGAGGGAAGGATACTAGAGACAAAGTTGAAGTACTTTGGCCACATCATGAGGAGACAGCAAGGCCTAGAGAAGACAATTATGCTGGGGAAAGTAGAAGGAAAAAGGAAGAGGGGCCGACCAAGGGCAAGATGGATGGATGGCATCCTTGAAGTGACTGGACTGACCTTGAAGGAGCT